CTTGCAATGTTTACAGAAGCAGTGGATGGACTTTCCTCCTCAAGTGTCACAATTGGGCAATATTCTTCTTCTGCAGGCTTGCCTGTCTCTAGAGAGACCCAGACTGAAGGGCAGAAAACACCAGTTAGTGCTGGCTCCCTCCCGTTTTCATTAGCCACTCCAGCAATTGGATATCTGTACTATAAAGTAGAAAGCTTGCTCTATGTCAATATTCCTTAGAGCCTTAACAGTGAAATGAGATGGTTAGGGAGAAGCATAAGTACAATTTTGGTTTTCATCTGATATACATCAGGACTTCCCAATATGTTATTCCTTGAACTTAGACTTTAGCAGGTAAACTTCTGAAAAGCACCACATTGCGTAGTGAAGCCAACACTACGGTGTCACAAACTAAGATGGCAGGGCACTAAGATTGTGCAGGACATTGGAGGCAGATTGCAGGACAATTGAGGGCTAAGACTCTACAGCAACATAACGATTCTAGAATCACAAAATTCTGTAGTTCTATGAGACTTCGGTTGTATAAAGATCACTGAAATGAAAAAGAGCTCACTGAACTTCTTCCCTGGACATCACTGAGCGACTGGTATAGGACCTCCAAAGTCTCCCACACTGACTGGTGGGCCAAGGTGGATTTTCAGGTCTCTAGAGAATACTATTCATTTAGGGCCATTATCAAATAATCTCAGAAGGTCTCAGCATTTCTTTCCCCAGTGCAGTCACCCTGGTTATATGGCAGCAGGTTCCTATGGGGAAGGCTTGGGGGAAGATTTATAGTATAAACCTACGGGTTTCCAGATTTAGCAAACATATCGCAAGGGCATATTTGTACTACAAAATTACAAAAATGTGTATCTGAAATTCAAATTTAACTAGGTACAGTATATTTCATCTCGAGACTTGGCATCGAAGAGCACTTCCTGAAAGAGACCTGGTTTCCTCATCCATCAAGGGACTTCAAGTCTTTGAAATGGCTTAGATCTGATAATCAGGTAAGAGGCCATGAATCTCTTCTACAGAGACTCACATTAGGTTCCTGCCCATGAAAGCTAGCATTTTCTTCCCAAAGTCAAGCAGTATCTTAGTAAGAATACCACCTGTTTCATGTCTAGGGATCCCATAATCATTGCCACAGATCCCTGCTGGTCAAAGCTCTCTGATCGCTGCTCCAGCTCCGGGGTTTCTAGGGGTAACGATGCCCACCTTGTCTCTGCTGCTCAATTAGCACTATAGTCTGGGCTCTGCCCTCCCCCCTGCCCTCAGATACCATCCCTCCTACTGAGATACACAGCTCCATTACACAGTGGTTCTCCCAGTATGGTTCCCAAACCAACAGCATCAGTATCACCTGGGGACTGACTGATTAGAAATGGGAATCATTGGCACTGTGTTGAACGCTTTCCATGCATTATCCGATTTGACTCTCGCAACATCACAATGAGTTAATAATTAGCAATCAGTTCCTCTTAGAGGCTCAGAGTGGTAAGCAATTTGCTCCAAATTACATTCTCAGTAAGGTGGATATAGGACTTGAACCCATGTCTGGCTGACTCTAGGTCTCAGGTCCCCAAACACAATCTCCTATAAGATGTTGGGTCCTGAAGCAGAGGAAAGGACAGACAAGAGTCTTTATAGCTGGAAGGGTTTTGGAGGAAAGTTAGGGCATGTGTGTGAGAGCGGATTCTCAGCAGAGAATAACAAACAAGGCTCAATCAGCCAAATTCATTGACGTAGACATACTTGCCCAGAATTCAGAATCTCATGTGTTGGCACAAATAATTGGGAGTAATGTTCATGTTCAGCTAGATTGGCCAGTTGGAATCTGGAATTAAAAAGGAGCCTGTAGTCAGCGAAGCTGAAATCCTAGAACTTCCCTGAGATGTTAGGAAGAAGTCTAAAGCCTCAGGGGAGTGGATCTGTTGAAATGGATCTATTATGTGCGAGGTGCTCAGCCATCCCTTAACTGTACTCCCGGGGAAGGCCAGGGGTCACTTCCTTTATTGAGGCATTGTGAGATGTTCTGACAAGGTTAGGAGAGGTAGCTAGCATCCTTAAGAGCTCTCTGATGGCGATGAACTGTAGATCAGAGATGGCTGTGGGATAGCTATAATTTCATGGTTCTCAAACTTTAGTGCACATAAAAATCACCTGGAGGGCTTGTGTCATACACCTACTGGTGAGAATTTAAGTAATAATGATGCCAACATATGTCATTACTGTGTTTCTAAAATCTGTGAATGACTCAATTCTAGAATTCTACTTGGAAGATATATATTTACAGAAACCATTTCTGGCACCTAAATCTTTGTCAGTCGAGGTCCCAGAAAAAAATAGATGATGCTTAAATTCGAGTGATTTGAGGAGGGTTTAATAAAGATGCTATTTACCAAGCTGTGGGCTGGGCATGGAAAAACCACAGGAGTTCTTTGGTATTCTGCAGCTGCTGATAGGGTAGTGACCGCCCCTAGAGCTGAAGGGGAAAGCACAGAACATGGTTCCCCAAAACTGGAAAGAGTCATGAAGAGAGTCATGGAGAGGGCCACCTAGAGAGAAGTAAAAACCATTGGTTGAGGGCTGCATCCATGCAGAGAAATAAGTACTTCACCTTAACTCCTCTCCCTCTTTCCAGTTCTCTAAGGGGCTGTCCAGTGTCCAAACCCAACCTGAAGCCAGAGGACCTGTGATCCCATTGATGTGATCCACACAGATTAGCTTCCCAGGCCACAGAAGAGGATGAAAAAGAATGAAATGTGTGTCTGGAGGGACAAGCTTGCAGCCTTCTTTTCTTGTGTGGTTGCTGACACGTGTTTGTGTTGATGTTATGTAAGACTTAACAAAATGAGTTAAAGAGTGTACGCTTTCTTGATATTCTCTGGAAGAAATTATGTAACATTTGAATTAGTTCCTGGAACACTTTGGAGGAATTCAGTTGTGTAAGCCCTTGGAGCCCAGAGGATATTTTGTGGGAAAATTTTCATTTATTGATTCAATTTCTTTAATAGTTTCAGAATTACTTTTCTTTCTTTCTTTCTTTCCTTCTTTCTTTCCTTCTTTCTTTCCTTCTTTCTTTCCTTCTTTCTTTCCTTCTTTCTTTCCTTCTTTCCTTCCTTCTTTCCTTCCTTCTTTCCTTCCTTCTTTCCTTCCTTCCTTCCTTCCTTCCTTCCCTTTCTCTCTCTCTCTCTTTCTTTCTTTCCTTTTTCTTTCTTTCTTTCTTTCTTTCTTCTTTCTTTCTTTCTTTCTTTCTTTCTTTCTTTCTTTCTTTCTTTCTTTCTTTCTTTCTTTCTTTCTTTCTTTCTTTCTTTCTTTCTTTCTTTCTTTCTTTCTTTCTTTCTTTCTTTCTTTCTTTCTTTCTTTCTTTCTTTCTTTCTTTCTTTCTTTCTTTCTTTCTTTCTTTCTTTCTTTCTTTCTTTCTTTCTTTCTTTCTTTCTTTCTTTCTTTCTTTCTTTCTTTCTTTCTTTCTTTCTTTCTTTCTTTCTTTCTTTCTTTCTTTCTTTCTTTCTTTCTTTCTTTCTTTCTTTCTTTCTTTCTTTCTTTCTTTCTTTCTTTCTTTCTTTCTTTCTTTCTTTCTTTCTTTCTTTCTTTCTTCCTTTCTTCCTTTCCTTCTTTCCTTCCTTCCTTCCTTCCTTCCTTCCTTCCTTCCTTTCCTTCTTCCTTCTTTCCTTCCTTCCTTCCTTCCTTTATTTTTTTTACAGTTTGGTGAGTTATATTTTTGGAAGAATTCATCCCTTTTATCTAAATTAAATTTATTGGCATGGGTTCTTATTTTCTTCTTGGTGTCTGCAGGCTCTGTGGTGGCCTCTTCTACTTTCGTTGTTGGCTACTTGTACTTTTTTCCCTTTTTTCATGGTCTATCTCAAGAGAGCTTCAGCTTTTCAGGAAACCGACTTTGGGTTGCTTCAACCATTTCTATTATATATTCTTTTCAGTGTCACTAATCTTGGCTCTTCATTTTCTGCTTTTTACTCTCACTGGGCTTGTTTTGCTGGAATGGGAAGACTGGCAAGGATGGAAAGCAGAGAGGAGAGTATTCCAGGTAGGCACAAAAAGTAAGCAGAGCGTGGGAGCCAGGAGTGAGCGTGACGAACGAGAACCTCAGCAAAGGGCCCGGCCCGTTTTCTATGGGAGGCCCGCGTTGTTTCTCGCCTCCCCGGATCCCGCTGCGGCGCTGCCCTCCCCTCCCCCAGCCCAGGCACACGCCCCCTCCCACCAACAGCTCTAGAAACTCAGTAGTCATTCCTGAAAACAAGGGTCCTGGACATATCAGTGGTTTGCAAACAATATCCACCCGGGCTCGAGGTACAGAAGAGGGCACCAATATGTGATGGGAGAAGGCCCTCTCACCAGAAGCTGGCTTCGATTTGTCTCAAGTATGGGACGTCCACATAAAACTTGGAAAAAAGACTTCTGCAGCTAAATGAAAGTTTGACCGCCTTGGTGGTTCTAGGCAAACAGGCTTCTTTTTCAGTGTTACCACTCATATCCCATGAGGCTTTGGTCAGGTTATGTAATCTCTCTGCACCTCAATGATTTTCCTTGTAAGCAGGCATGATGATAGTGGTCTAGATCCTATTAGGACTAAATGCATAATACGTATGAAGCCCTTAAACAGTGCTCTTTCTCTGTCAGAGTTATTTTTCATTTTGGACAAAGTAAGGCTGTGGAAATCTCTTCGGGTCACTTCCTACGGTCAGTGGCAGCACATCTGTGTCCCTACCTCCTTCCTGTGGTTTGGGAGGCTGGAAGGAAGCAGTGCTCACCCTGCTGCAGCCCACAGCTTCCCTCTTGTATTTCTTGGAAAACTCTCTGGCAGCCCAGCCATCGGCTCAGCAGATTCAGAAACACTCTTCATCTTGACTTGACCATGGCCCTGCCCAGGCAAATATCCCTCTGAGATCTCCAACCCTCTGCTTCCTATAAAAGGGAGGCAGAGAGGCCAGAGGAACAGAGAGGTTGAGACACCAACACCTCTCGCTCTGAAGCTCGTGTCCTCACCCTCCACCATGAAGGTCTCTGTAGCCCTTCTGTGCCTGCTGCTCATGGTGGCCACCTTCGGGATCCAGGTGCTGGCTCAGCCAGGTAATTCCTTTTCCTCCTTCTTTCTCTCTATCTCCTCTCTGTTTCTCTCTCTCTCTAGGAAGCCATAAGCCAAAGTACCCCATTTCCCAGCCTATCAGAGCAGCGGGGGTCCTTGGAGCTTCACTTTAACATCTAGCTTTAAAGACTGAAAGCAGATGCCAGGGTTGGGGACAATAGGAGTCCTATCTCTCCCCCAGGCAGAGCCAGAATAAAGCCCAAGCCGCCTAAATCCAAGGCCTTTTCTATGATCCCTACTTATTTTCCCAAACTCTGCAGATTGGGGACCATATCCAGGACTTGCCACCCTGGCCTCCCCCAGTCAGCAGCGTTACATACCTACCATGCAGCTGAGAGAACTGACTTCAGATCTTAAGCCATCTGTTCTGGGTCCCACCCCCCTCATGGCCGAGGGCAGGAGCACTGCACCTGGGGTGGGTAAGACTCACTCTACCTTTTTGCTTTCCTTCTCCGCCAGACACTTCCTGCTTCAGCCAAGCTGAGAAAAACTCAGCTTCTCCTAAAGGGATGTCTCTTTGTGACTTCATTTCTAGATGCACTCAGTGCCCTGTCCAGCTGCTGTTTCATGTTTAGCAATAAGAAGATCTCTGTGCAGAGGCTGAAGAGCTATCGAATCACCAGCAGCCGGTGTGCCCAGAAAGCTGTCATGTGGGTAGAAGAACCCTGCTCATGTCCACTCCCACCTCACCTCACCCCACCCCATTCTTCAATAGCCCCTGTTCCAAAGTTCTGCCCCAGAAGGTAGACATCAGACTAATTTGGGGTCTTATACTCAGGAAATAAGACCTAACCAGACTATGTAATCCAAATCCCCTATTATTACATCAAAACTAGGCCTAGAGAGGGTCCGTAACGTCCCACAGCCTGCTTCCTGAATGGGTGCCAGATCATACCCTTGCGGTGGCTTTGGTGGGTGCCAGGCCAGCTTCCTCCAGGGTGGCAAAAGCAGCAACTTCCTCCAGAGGCCACTTCTTTCCATACCCCTCCTTCCTCCTGGAAGGAGGTTGCCATCTCTTAGATAAAGCCCTTAAGTGTTCTATCTAACTGTGCTGGCACTCCTTCATCCACAGCTTCAGAACCAAACTGGGCAAGGACATCTGTGTCAACACGAAGAAGAAGTGGGTCCAGAATTATGTGAAATACCTGGATCAAAAACCTCACACCCAGAGGACCTGAACTCTTCCAGCCGCACTAGGACCAAGCCAGAATATGAGAAATGACGATTCTCCTCCAGCCTTCTCGTCTATAACCTGGACTAATCTTATTGTAATTTTCAAATAAGGTGCTTTCTGTTTTGTGATGCAAAATATATTATGTCTTAAGAAATATTTAATATTACTTGAATTGTTGCTGATTTGGTTATTTTGAATATCGGTGATTTTTTTTTTTTTTTAAACAGGATCTTGAGCCAGTCGATTCTTGTCATGAGCCCCAGTCGATTCCTGTCATGAGTCCCAGTTCCTTCTCCTGTAAGCTACAGGCAGGGTCTCTCTTCTGCTTAACTCCTCTGTAAGAATCATAGGGATGAAGGGCTACTGCATGTAGGGAGGAGAGTACCTTGTGAATGTCAGGGGTTGTTAATTAAGTACGTTATTATGGAAAGATGAATGCAATCTTAGGACTGCTGACTTTTTGCAGAGAATACATTTTGTTTAAAACCTCCAACAGTGGTGTTTTCTTTGAGGGAAACTTCCAATCAGTAGGGGGCGCTCCGAGGTGCAGGTAGATGACATAGGGCACTAGAGGATTGTAACCCATAGAGTGAGGCCTAGGCTATGGCTCGCCTGGGCACATCTGAGTATTAGGGAGGGTCTGGCTTACCTGGGTCCAGGATATTCTAGAACAGTGGATCTAGTCCCAGCATCAGATTCTCCCTGCCCCCATGTCTCCCACTCTGAGCAGTTCTCCATCCTGGAGTAATACGCATTGCATGCACCTGATCCCCAGGGGAAAGCCAGATGACTCAGTCCTAGTTAGCATCAGACTGGACAGAGAAGATGAGACAACATCAACCTTGGAGGATGTAGCATGGTCGTAGCTCTACCTTCAAGAGGAGGAGCAGGATGGAAAAGAGGGGAGAGGGCTTGGAAGGAATATTTCCACACGGTCAGAGTTTAGTTCCAGAATGGAAATGTTAGAGATGTTTAGAAAGGAAGGTTGCGGTGTGGTTATAGAGGAATTGCAATGTCAAGGTGAGGAGTAAGAAGTTAATCCTGAAGGCAGGAGAAAGATGCCTAAGGCAGGGGGATACCAGGAAGAGTAGCCTGTGGCTGTGGGCAGGACAGAGTTGGCAGGAGAGAACTGAGAGCAGACTACTATAAGGGTCCAGGCAAGAGGAAGTAAAGTGAATCAGGGCAGTCATGGGGTCAGAAGGGGAGAGGCAGTTTAAGAAGAATGGGTCAAATGTGTGACATGTTGAATGCTGGAGAAAGAGGGAGAAATTCTGAGAGACAGGACATGAAACCTTCTCCACTATGGCCACCAAGCTGGCCTTGAGGTGTCAATTCTGAGACCCAAAATTTATCGCCCTCCGTTGCTCTTCTCCCAAGAGTCCAACATTGTAGAAGTTGGAGCCTGTGATTGTCTCTTTTTCTATGTCCACCCAGTAGTCTCCTGAGACTGCCTCCCTCCTCCAGATGAGCTGGCATCTCTATCAGTCCCAGACCTACCCATGCTGGGTACTCGCCAGGACCTTCCCCAAAGAGAAGGCCCTGCTAACCCACTCTGCAGGATCTCTCTAGTGCCATGCTGTGTCAGGCAATTACTTGGCAACGTGGGACACGGAAAAGAGTTCTGGCCCAAGAGGCAGGATCTGACCTCGACTTGCCTGTCAGGCCTGTCTATGTCCCTCTCCAGCCCTCAGTCACCTCATCTATAAAATAAGACTAGCAACATCTTACAGGCAGGTGACTTCGCAAGATCTTCTCCAGCTACTGTGACTTTTGCATAACATCAACCACCAAACCCTTTGGTCAGGGAGGAAGGGTGTCCTGCCACCAAATGCGGACCCAGCCCTGGGTACCAGCTTGCTGCTACACTCTTCCACACTTGGAATAAGAAACGCTGCATCACAGCCTGAGTCAATGCTTACCTCTCCCCACCCCAGACAAAGACAGTCATCTGAAAGGAGTGAGTAGTTATTGAATTTTATTGACAAGAAGTCAGTTCTCGGGACATCAGTTCCAACATGTCTCCCCATCCCCTCCTCCAGCCCCTGGCCCCAGCTCCTCAATGCCAATCAAGTTTGCACCGTGAAATCCCTGTGGGGAGGAACATGGAGGCAAGAATGGAAGATTTTATAATATAAAGATATAAAGTGAGACGACATAGCTTATCAGGACCCGCCAGACCCTTCGTGACCCAGCAAAGTTGGTATGGAAGGATTGGTGTAGCATTGGAGGCTGTGGAGTGGGTAAAGCCACATGGTCTCCAGAGTCTAGCGTGGAAAGGATTTCGATCACATTTTCGTTTATGGGCAGGATTTTATCTTTTGTAAACTACTCTTAATCCATCGGTCTGTCTTCAAGGCACAGCTCTCTCTGCCTCCTTTCATCTTCAGTCTGTGGGCAGGGAACAAAGAAGGCACTGAGTCACCCCTTGGGAGCCACACATAAGTCCCATCTCCCTCTAGTTGCTACTGGGTATCCCTGAGATGCTCTCTCTGTGGTCTCCCTGTGGCTTGCACACCAGGAGGAACGCCCAAGCTTCAGGGGGACTTTAATAAATTATGTTTCCTGGACCTCTTTCCTTGAGATTATGATTTGGTATATATATCAAAGTAGAGCTGAAGGCTGAAACATTGAGGATTAGCTAGCATGGAAAATTCCCCTCCTAGAATATCTTGGGGAGCTCCTCTGCTCTATCTTTTCATGTATCTGTGTACATCTGAGACTCTTTGTCTTTGGATGTGTGTGTGTGTGTGCGTGTGCGTGTGTGTGTGTGTGTGTGTGTGTGTGTTTCTTTTCTAATCTGCCCACGTCCTCAACTTGGCTATTGTCCAAACTTTGGACCATTTCTGCCTTTATTATATAGATGATCTTAGACAATTTTTTCATGATAATGCAAATGTGTGCCCACAAGATAGTTAGCCAAGACAATATACGTGAATGTGCCTTATAGATGCTGAGTGGCAAGTGTAAGCTACCTCAGTCAAGCTTCATAATTACTCTGTGATGCAACTGCCATATTTACTCCACTTCACAGATAAGGAGCGCAAAGGAGTACCTGCATAATGCAGTGCAGAAGGCTTACCTGCCTAAGGTCACCCAAGACTGTAGGTTGGCAAATCTGGAGGCAAGAACTAATCATGACCCCTTCACTCTTTTCACTACGCAGTAAAGCCTAGAACTTTTAAGCAATTTCTTCCTCTGGGTATAAAATATTGGGATACAATTCTTGGCGCCTTGGAGCTCCAAGAAACACAAGCCACTGCAGGAACACAGGTGCATCCCTTCTGGCACCTGCTAGGCAGTGCGGAGCTCCCCCTAGTGCCCACACTCGGCTCTGCAGCCAGGTTTTGGTGGCTGCTCTGGCAGGGTTCAGAAACCTTAATTTGGTGGGACATTGCCATCTAGCGTCTCCTATTCTAATTTTAGGTGAGCAGGTTTCTGTTCTCTACAGGAGGAAGTCAGGGATTAAACAGGGAACGACACTCACATTAGACCATTCGGGTTGGAGCAGGAGGAACTGGAGTTTCTGTAACACTGAATTCTATTCAATGAAATCATTTTCTTCACAAATGTGAAGCAACAAGTGGAAGACGACACATGCACTAGAAGAGAAGCACGAAAATAGTTTGCATTCATTTCTCAAACTGGACTTCGTTCCTTTTTCAGGATGGTTTTAAAAACAACCACCACAACCACCAACAAAACCCTTCCTGGTGAGGTCCAGGCTTTGGGACCACATGCAGAGGGCCCTGGTGCAGCACTGTCTTATCAGCCACCTAGTTCTGTGTTTAGGCAGAGTCCGGACACAAGTTCAGATCATAGCTCCCCACAAACCAGCTGGTGGCTTTGATCGAGATGAACCCGCACCCAGCCCCCAGACTTCTCATCTGTAAAATAAGACTTTTTAGACTGATTTCTAATGGCTCTTCCAGTTCTGACATCCCACCACTAGGGCGTGGTTCTGCCCCAATATTGGAGTTCAAGGGCTCTTGATCCCGTCCCCAGGGGCGTGGTGAGCCTGGTGCATGCAGGACAACTACGATTCAAAAAACTGGGGCAGGATTAGAAACTGTTCAAGGAGAGTAAGCTCATAAAATGACAAGGAGAGTGCTTCCAGGAACCAGCCAGCTTTCCTAGTCACTCTCTAGAATGCCCTCCTCTCCTAGTCCTCAGCTCTGTCCTGATCTCCAACCCTCACTGTGCCATCTGTACACCCCTCCCACACTACACGCTCCAAAAACTTGCATTCCGATCCTGGCTCCTTCCTCCTGGTTTGACTGTTTACGCATCCCCTTTCATGTGTTTAGTATTAGGTCAGCATTCTCTCAACAGCCTTAGAAGGTAGGCGTTATCAATCCACTTTACTGATGGAGAAACCCAAGTTTGAGAGGTAAAGTAATTTGCCTAACGTTAGCCAACTGTTATAGTCCCAGGTCCTGACTTCAGACTCTGTTAATTATCTGTTACACCATGGAAGCAAGACCCAGTTCTATCTCTGGACCTCAGGCCCCCCAGCTTGGTCTAATAACCTCACAGTTTCCCTCCATCAGTCTGCAGAGTCTGGATGAGACAGGGCCTCCTTTTGCTGAAGGTAGCGACTCAGATGTCGGTTTGCCCAGACTCATGGTTCTCCTACTGTTCCTCTGCCCACAACCCATCTAAGTCCTCTATTCCTCCTCTTCAGGAAGACTTCTTCCTGGAGCAGAGGGGATGAAGGCAGTGAGTTCAGAGTAAGCCCTGGCCCCAACCCCAGAGCTTCTTCCCTCCCCAAGGAGAAGCAAAGTGTCCCCAACTCCACTTACTGCTCATGCTGTCCACATCCTGCAGCCACATTCTTGCCGCCAGCAGGCAGAACAGGGTCACGGTGATGAGCTTCATCGTAGACTTTCTGGCTCAGGCCTCTCTGGAGTGGTCTCGATGAATCTGGTGAAGCTAAGAGCTCTCCCCTGGCCCATCCTGCAATGCCCAGGGCTTATATATTTGAAATAAGCTTGGGAGGGGTTTTCCAGGTCCTGGTGCAGAGGTGGGGAAGTCACCAGAAGAGATGGGTTACTCAAGTCTAATGACCACATGGAAAATGCCTCTTCTCACCTCTCTGGGTGGTGCAGGTGTAGG